ATTAAATACAGTATTTATGGTTTTGTCTCCAGTGTCAGTGTTTGTTATTATAGATGTGATTCTAATGCAGAATGTGTGTGTGGGTTTGCGTTTCTGTGTTTAGTAGCTGTTCCTCTAGAAAGCTGTTTCATCATCATCAAAAACACACCCTGCACTAAAAAGCCCCTCCTGATGCCCCGCCCACAGTGTTTGATTGACAGGAGTGCCTCACTGACAGTGAAAATGCAGTCAGGACATTGAGATGATAATGAAATGTTAAAAGCACTTTGCTTTTCTACATTAACAGCTGCTCTACACAGAAATGCAAATTCACACATTCTGTATCTGAATTACGTCTTTAATAATGAACCCTCCCGTCGCAAACGCAACTGTAAACACCCAGTTAACATTTTCAAATTTGCATTTAAGGCTCGAAAACACTGCCATCCAAATTTAGTATATGATAATGAGTGTTTTCAGAACGCACTGCCGTCTCAGTCTGAGCTCTGTCCTGCACACGTTTATCAGCCTCTCTTTATCCCTTAGAATTAAAAAGGCTGGGCCTGTAAGACGGGTGTGTGTAAATGAGCTCTGTTCTGATTGGCTGTGCTGTATTGAACCTCATTTAAAAAGCATTGCGGGCTGAAACACTCCTTATAACGTCAGTGTGAGTGGGCGGGGCTAAACTGCTGTAAACTGCTGAAAAGGCTCTTAGAGATGATTGTGTTTGTTTTTGTGACATCAGAAGAGTCAAACCTCACCGTGTAGCTGAGCACTGTGGACAGACAGGTGCTGAACTCTGACTCTTCAGGTTCAGGTGTGTCGTGCAGGTGTACGGATGGTAAATGGACGCTTTCAGCGCTAGTGGTGAACGATTTGGGAAAAATGTTGACCTTTCTTTTTAGACCAATAATGTGATTAAAACGCTGCTATTCTCTGTAATTTAAACTCCAGATGCCGCTTGCATAAAACAGTATTTAATAATAAAAGTATTTTATTTATTTTTTTAGGTAGCTTAAGATACTTCAGATAAAAGGGGAAACGATGTTCTGTGCAAGTGATCACATCTTTTTTTTTCACTAACATGTCCATTTATTCAGACTTGCAGCTTGAGAGCCAAACAACCAGTTCACAAGGTTTGTGTTATCAGTTTAAATTCATAGAAAAAAAGGACATAATTAAAATTGAGCTCTTTCAATTTGCAATTTGGCTATAAAAATGAGTGTATAGTTGCATTTTAATGTATGAGAGATGCTATATAAGTAAAGATTATTATTATTATTATTATTATTATTATTACATTCCTAGATTTCTGTCATTACATCTAAACACATCCTCAGGTCAAAAATTGGAGATGAACAGATATTTATAAATAGAAATAATACTGCAGATGTGCTCTGTAGTGTTTATGCGCCTGTGTGAGCATGAAGGGGAGTCGGATTCTGCAGGGAGTCACAATTCAGCACAGCACCTGTTTGTCTGTAGCTGCTCATGTTTGTAGCTCAGTCAGTCATACTTTGCTCTGAATTCTGTCTGCAGGTCTGCGGCCCCTTAATGAAGAGCTGGGTGCAGTTTGATTGGGCTGAGAGGAGGTTTAGGGATGTTTTTACAGAAAAGGTTTGGGTGACTATTGACCTTCAGTATTAGCATCTTTAGCCTCGTAACTCGAGCTTTTTCACTAAACTAAAGAAACTCATTTTTACTGCGGGGTCGTTTTCTCCTGGGGGAAAACAGCTCAGACCTGGAAGTCCTTATTTGGGCGTCTCTGAATATAAAGCGCTGTGGAGAGAATAAATGCTCCTGATTGGCTGTTCAGTGTCACATGATTTTATTTCATACGGGCTACAGAAACACAAGCTGTTAGTTGTTTATTGTTGTGCTTGTTTGTGTTGCTCTGTGATGATCATCATCAGCCTCTCTGTCTCTGCTGCTGATGTCATTTCCTGTATCTTGGCCCTCTGTTTTCGGGTCAGGGGCAGGTCAGCGGCGGGCGTACACAGCTGGAGCCAGCGCTGTTAACAGACACAACAATTTATTTCATTTCATTTCCGTGACTGTCCTGACATCCTGCGTCAAATAGTGCATATATACCATTTTAACTCCTGTGTTTTATTATATCCTCTTAACCAATTAATATTACATGTGCATTTTATTGAATTTGAATTTGTGTTATTCTAACCACATCTGCATTTAAAGGAAAGGCAGGTTTGTTTATCTAGCACCTTTTATACTGTCATTCAAAGTGCTTTACAAAGAGAAAATACAAAGATAAATTTTAAAAATATGGAGAACAGAAATGTAAACCAGTCTGTTCTGTAGTGCAGGATTATCTCCCTCAGCCTCACCAGTTTAACAGAACTCACAATTTTATATCATTTCATGTTTTTATCAGTGTTCTCACTACAATACCCAGCATGCATTTCACAAATGCATCACACAGGCATTAGGAATCCGTGCGGTGACTGCTAATTAGTGTAACTCTTTAGTGTAAGTCTTACCTCATTCATGAGTCCTGAAAAAACAGAGAGTCTGTATTCAGCACTGAATGAACAGACGAGGTTTAACCCTTTCAGTCAGAGAAAAGAGCCGAACTGAGGAAGATATCTGGAGAGTCAGGCTAACTTCCTAACTTTAGCTGTTAGTTGTGCTCCTGATCTGACGACTCTTTTCTGTGGTTTGAATAATTTATTCCCTCCTCTGTGATGATCTGAAGACTGCAGTGAAATATTCAGTTTCCTGGCAGTGTCGTTGGCGATCTGCCCTCTGCGTCCACTAGATAATAAAACAAAAAGCAGTTTCGCTCAGACGTTCGTTAAACTCGGGTCAGTTTCAGGCGGAATTTCAGGCCTGATTAAAGCTCCTCTGTGGCAGCGCTGGAGGAGGAGAGCGGGCATGTTCACAACAGAAGTTGTTATGATTAAAAATTAATTTAATATTTCACCATCTGTAAATGTTCTGTACAGCTTTAACAGAATCAAACGTCTGATCATTTTTAGGCCCAGTCCCATTTCTTCTTTTTACCCCTACCCCTTGTTTTCGAGTGTAGCTGAGTTACAAGGGGTAGTGGTTGAAATCTTGCCCTATGAAATGGGACCCTCAAATTAAAAAACAAACAAACAAATAAATAGCATCACTTAGGGCTGGGCGATAAAACGATAACGATAAGTATTGCGATATAACTTTTCCTCGATAGAGCGATAAGACAGGTTCGATAAATGTTCAATATAATACACCACTCTCACACTTCCACGTTTTAGCGGAAGCCCTGGTGGCGCTTTCTACTGCAAGGAAAGCGACACTACTCTGCTGTCGCCAGGAGAGGGCGCACTTCCGAATTTTTCGACTTGATTAGAGAGGGAGGGGGCCACAAGTAAAAAAAGGGTTGCCAAATATACTTTAACAACGGCTGAAACGCGGAGTTATGCATTCCCTGTCTGAGTGGAGCAACCGGCGATCTGTTCTCCTGTGACCGAGTCTGAGTGACGAGGTCAGTGGTGTAACTGTACTGTCCTACAGTGAACTCACCTCTTTACTAACATCCTAACAGCTTTAGCGGTGTTAAATCACGTCTGCAGCGCCGTGTTACAGCCAAACCGCCATATTTTAGTGTTAGTGCATTCTCGAGCAACGAAAGTGAAAGAAAGAAGTGGTTCATGTTCGAAAGTAAACTGAGGAAGCTGTGAGGCGTTGGAGAGCGGGAGAGCGCTGTCTTTCCAGGCTAGCTGTTTTTAGCTGCTGGCTAACTTGAAGCAGCGCTCCGGCAAAACACGGTGAATTGATGATACTGTAGATCAAACAAGACACAAAATCACCGCTTTCAGTTTAAACATGCCTAAAAGGAGGACTCTGTGACTGGTGAGAGAGATTCACACTGCAGATAATGCTTTTACACAGCGAGCGTCAGATATACTGCGGTTCACCCCTTGAACTACTGCGATAGCATAGAGAAACCCAGCCGTCTAGCTGGTGTCTGAATACTGTGATCTGCTCTGACATGGATGTGGTAGGAGTGACCGCAGTGACCTACCGAACCGAGTGGACGTTGTTGAGAAACTAAAGAGTTTAGCCCTGTTGTTGGCCACTTGTTTAGCGTTTGTAGCGGGGTAGCCGAGCGCTCGACACCAGACAGCTAAAATAATCTGTTTTCTGTTTTCTTTCTTAAATTATGACTATTACAAAAATTGCAGCTGTGCTTTTCCAGCTGATAAAAACAGCTCAGAAACTTTCTCCCACTGTCCCAAGACAGATTAGTGAAATGTTCCACTGCTTGCCGAGTGTTTGTTATGATCGGACCATAAGTGATAGTTTAAAACCACAGTTAACCCCCCAGGAGCAAAATCAGCCTTCAAACGTGAAAGAAATCATGATTTGACTTTTATCGCGATATGTATCGATATCGAACGATATGAATTTTGTTTATCATGATAACGTTTTTGGCCATATCGCCCAGCTCTAGCATCACTTCATTAACAGCTACCAGCGCTGCTCTGTAGGAGACCCTGCCAGTCTGCAGTGACAGCAGAGGAGGGTAAAGTTCAGCTCCTCACTGCTGGGCTTTAGTTACATTTAGGGCATCATATGATCTTCAAAGAGGGGGGCAATTATTTATTATCACCCACCACTAATTCTTCATTG